CTAAAACAAACAGATTATAATGCAAATTTATAAGTACAAAGCAAAGAGTGTTATTTATTTTAAGACATCCACAGTTCAAAACAAAAACATTAATTTTTGATCCTTTGAAAAGTTTTCTTAAGGTCTTGAGCAAACCCTAAAAAAAAATTTTACTCAAAATTTTAATTCAATTATATACTTATCATTAAAATACATTTAAGAGGTGTGATATAACATTTTTTTAAATTGTTGCTTTTTGATCACCCCAAATAATCAGGTCATCCTGCTACTGGTAACATGTAATCCAGTCCATCCTCTTTCATACAAGACAGGTGAGGCTCTTTAGCTGTGGTAAATAAAACATACCAAGAAGAAACGAAACTCTGGTATAAATCCAACAAAATAGAAAAGACCTCCAAGATTGGTGTTTGAACCACATGAACTGAATGCTAATCAGCAAGAACAGTATGTGCATGAACCTCTTGTCTTTGCACTAAACCTATAATATCATCACCAGGTATGTAGGTAATTTAGTTTACTCTAATGATAACCATGTCATCACCATAGAAGTGGGTGCTCTACATAAACAACACCAGGAAGTGCTAGTGGCTAGAGCTAGGACATCTGCTAAAATCAACTCTTAAAGTTAACATCTACAAAAACATTTTTAAAAGGTTTTGTTTTGGGTTTGATGGGGCATGTGCAACATTGTGTAATGTTAACTACTTCTCTAGTTTCCATTACAAAATGGCCTCAATGGCTTAAGAGCAACAAATTTTACTTCCTTTTTGAAAATATTTATCCTCACATTTCAAAATTGATGCAGCAAAAACTATTAAAGCTTGGTTAGGAAGAGTTGGAACTAAGTTTAGCAACTTAGTTCCAACAAATTATTATTTGTTCTAATTGCCAAGCAACAGCTTGTTTAGCAAAAAATTTGACAACAACAAGACATTTTAACAGCACTTTTACAACTTCTCTGATTCAAATGCAAAATAAATGTTTACCTAAGTTTTAGCAAAAGAACATAGACAATAAGATTCATTTAGTTTGGTTGTGCAGAAATTGTCTGTTCATAACAGAAACACTCTGCAAAAATTACTATAGGAAATATTAATACAGGAAAATTTAAAGTGATTTCAAAGTATTCCTGCGTGGATGGCAGTCATTGTCTCTTTTAAATGTGCATTTTACCAGATATGCCTATCAAGCTCTAGAAAATTGTCAATTATGAAATTAAAAGATATTCATGCTTTATCATCTCAGAAATTTATTGATACCAATGGCAACCAATAGAAGGTCCCACATTTGACAATGAGCAATAAGACATGCATTGGCTCAATATTCAACAAAACCATTGCTTAATTACAGTCAGATTGTTCACTAGTAAATTTGAAACAACTGATTATACAGACATAATCAACTGGTCATCAAATATTAGTGTTGAACCTCCAACCTTTGGATCAGAAGAACGGACTTTAAAAACAGCATAATGACCTCAGAAAAGCAAGAATTTAAAATTTTTCCATACCACACTCAAGTTGTAGAAAGTTGCAAGAAGTTCATCAGTGAAGCCAATAGAAAAGTCTGTAAAAATCAATCCAACGGTTTTATTTGTGCAAGAATAAAGAGTCTTGATCAGCCATGAAACTCTTTAATGCTAAGTCTGATTTTAACCTTTTAAAAAAAAGTTTTTGCTAACCGTAAGTAAACTTGAAATAGACTTCATTTGTTTGAAGTACTATTCTTAATTTTTTGTAACACTTTGAAGTTTTACATAAATATATTTTTATTAGGTTGTGATACATACAGGTTTATTATAATAGAACTCAAAAAGCAACAACAACTTTTTTATAACCATTCATGGTTATTCAGCACCTTTTTTTGTTACAATTTTTTTGTCATGTTATTTAATGATCTTACTTCATTTTTAAATGTTTATAATTCAAAAAAACGTAATTTGTTTTCAATTAAAAAAATTCAAACCTGTGTCAAAAAAGTCATTGAGTAAAGCATTTGAAAACATAAAAGTGTTGCATTTCAAAGTCAATCTTTTGTTAGCCATTTGTAAAAACTATGATCCCCTAATAAGTATTTACATGAACTTATTTTCTAAGTTTACAACAATAAATTTTATTATATTAGTAATGCATTTCCAATTATTGCAATAAAAGAATATCTAAAGGATGGACCAATAATGAAGTATTTTATTATCAAGAAAATAGAAAACAACAGCTGAGTTTGCTGCAAATGAAAATTTTGGATCACAATGCCTATTATATATGTAATGAAATTAGGAAAAAAATGATTGCAGAAGTCATAAAATTAAAGATTTCAGTAATGATATATGAGTCAACAAATATCATATACTGATAGTGTTTATTCAAAACTGTGTAGAAGGCAGTGGAATGAATTCCCTAACCAATTTACTTTTAGATTTAGTGGAACTAAAAAGTGTTATAATTGAAGTAGTACTTGATACTCAAATGCCTTCACTCTTATGAGATGATAAAAGATACATGACATAAATCTTATCAAGAAATAATTTAAATATCAATTTAAGTTATTTCTTGATAAGATTTATGCCATGCATCATGCTTCCTCAATAGCAGAGAGCTACACGTGCCTCATTATTAGGTGTTGAGCTGCAACAAACTCGTGGAATTTTAAATATGCAATGGGTGTAATTTAAATTTAATTTATTTATATATATATATATATATATATATATATATATATATATATATATATATATATATATATATATATATATATATATATAATATATATATATATATATATATATATATATATATATATATATATAATGAAAAAATACATATAAAACTTTTTGGAAGAAATTAATCATATATAAAACAAGAAAAAAAAAGCTGCTCATAAGTTTAGCGCACGTGGCTTTGAACTTGTTTTTAGGTCGAACCTTAATAAGGAGTGTGACCAACTCTATTTTTTATGCATAATGAACATCTTCTTCTTATAGAATAGTAAAGTTTACAACAAAATTCAACTGTCAAGTCATTAAACAACTTTTGAAAATTTTCTCTTAAATTTTCAGCTGAAGTTACTGGTTTTTCAAAAAGTTTTCAGTTTAACACAGTCCAAACATTTTCAATTGGATTCAGATCAGGTGATCTTGCTGGCCACTTAAGAACATTGATATTGTTTTGCTCAAACGATTCTGTTACAGATTTTGCTTTATGGCATGGAGCATTGTCTCATTGAAAGATCCACTCTGGCTCATTACCAAAAAAAATGTCCTTGTTAGGCATTAAATAGTTTTCAAAGATGTCGATGTATCTATGTTGGTCCATTCGACCACTGTGTAACATGTGTAGACCTAGGCTATCATATGTGATGGAGCTCTAAAAACCAACTGCAACACCTCCACCTTGTAGTATAGGTACAATACAGTGACTATTATACTTTTCATTTCAGTGCCTACGGACAAGTACTTTGTTTTTACGATTTAAGAAGGTGTAGTGAGATTCATCACTAAAATGAATTTTTCTTAATTCATAATTACTCATTTTTAAAATCTTTTTGCAAAATTTAATTCATTTTAAACGGTCTGTTGGTTTCAATAATGGTTTTCTGGCAGAAACATAGCACCACAGCTTACGATCTATTAGTCTTCTATTAACTCTATGCCAGATTTATTTCTTGTGCAATCTGTTTTATTGAGTATTTAGGATTTTTCTGGCAATTCTATAAATAGAATTATCATCAGTGTTATTTGTCTTTCTTGGTCACCCACAACGGTTTTTGTCAGCAGTACTACCACTTTCATGAAACTTAGCAATAGTTCTACTTACAAATGATGGTGAAACACACTTTAAATTCGAGATATTTCAATGTTAGATTGACCTCCCATATTAAGGCCAATAATACGCTGTTTGATTTCTTGACTTATAGTTTATTATTATAGTATATTATTTCCCATGGAAAATTTCAAATTTCTATTATTATTATAACCTAGAATTAAGCAAAAAAGATGAATTAATTTAAAACCAACTTTTAATATTCTACATCTTACTTTAAATATATTTTTGTAATATTTCATTAAAAAGGAGAGTTTAATTTACTATGATGCAACTATTACCATAATAAATTTACATGTCTTTACATATATATATATATATATACATATATACATATATACATATATATATATACATATATATATATATATATATATATATATATATATATATATATATATATATATATATATATATATATATATAATATATATATATATATATATATATATATATATATATATATATATATACAGACTAGCTTGTACCCCTTCTTCATCTAATAGGCTGACGCAGATGTAATACATTGTTTTCAGTTTAGGATGTTCAATGCTGGATCTTCTTGACTTGATGCATGGGTTTTGCTTGTGTCTCTGTTTTTATGACTAGGCAACTCATTCTATTATGTTCTAATGAGGGTACAGCTCTAAAACTCAGTTTTATGGTTCTGAGGCCAGCTGGTAGTCAGGTTTCCCAAACTCTGTGGTAGATCTCAGAGAGGCTGATTCCGCCAACAGCTGAAAAATATCAAAGTACTAACAGTGCCATGTTGCGCATGGATGGTGTCCCTGTTTGTACTTTTGGTGTGCATTGCCAAGGCCACATTGGAACCCTTTGTTACGGCTTAGAGTTTATTTGTGGTGATGAGGTAATTGCTTGGGCTATCAAACAGTGTACTGAGTACTATCTATGTTTTGAGTCAAGTTCTTTAACAAATTTAAAAATGAATAAAGTAATAAAAATTATAAAATACAAAAAACCATCACCAAGTTCGCTAAACCTATTATTCACTAATATTTGTGAATGATAGGTTTAGCGTTGATGTTTTGAGTCTTATCTCTTACAAAGTTCACCAGATCTATTTGCTCTTTGTGAGACTAATTTGAGTTCAACTGTCTCATCTTGTGATCTTAGTGTTGATGGTTATCTTCCTTTAATTTGTAAAGACTCCAATAGTCATAT